TCTAATAGTTTAAACTCAAGTATAATTTTAAACATTTGCTTCTTGTGATTCTGCCTTTTTCCTCTTCGTGCCTGGGGAGTGTCAGATGAGAGTGATGAAATCGTGAGACTTTGTACTGGAGTAAATGCCCCCTGGTCTGGCAGCCCCTGTGGGACAGCTGGAGGCAGGGCACTGGGGAGGGGAAGCAGGCCATCGGGTACCAGTGTCTGCCTGGCCGCCCAGCCCTGAGACCTCGGGCGAGTTATGACCGCTGAGCCCTGTGAAATGGAGGCAGGAAGTGCTAGCTCGTTCAGCTTTCACTTACAGTAGCCACATTCTTAAAAAATGCTGAGGACACGTCTGTGTTGGGTTACGTTTCACAGGTGTGAACACTGCCTCCTCCGTGTCAGGCCCTGTGCTAGTCAGCGAGGACAGGTAGACTGGAGAAGGAGAGGGGAGTGAGTGCTCTTGGCTTGGCCCCTTGTAACTGCCGTGGCCATCTCTGTGCCTCTCACCAAGAGAGCCCCCAGGAAGGCGGGCAAAGCCTCACACCACAGCTGAGCGGGGCCATCAGACCGTGTGGTACCTGAGCCACGCTTTTTATATTTGGTGCTGGGGTGTCCATATTCCTTTGTGTCCCACTGTAGCGGGAATTACTTAGAACTCCAGCCATGAGATTGTAAAGGGAGGAAGAGGAAGGACGCATCCTAAGCAGGGGAGGTGTGTGTTTAGGGCAGCATAGAGACGGAGCTGCGCAGTGCGAGTGAGCCGCCGGGCGCCCGGGCTGAGGCCTGGAGACACGCCAGCTCCTGGCGCCTCTACCCGGCGCGACTCTAGGATATTGGCACAGTCAGGGCCAGCGAGAGGCCTGAAAGTTGGTCTTTGGTGGCTAAGAATCTGCCATCTTTCTTTAAAATTATAACCCCAAAAAACTACCCACATTAAATTTCTGATCGTAGCTGGGCGCGGTGGCTCATGCCTGTAATCCTAGCTCTCTGGGAGGCCGAGGCGGGTGGATTGTTTGAGCTCAGGAGTTCGAAACCAGCCTGAGCTAGGCTGATGCCACAACACTCTAGCCCGGGCAACAGAGTGAGACTCTGTCTCAAAAAAAAAAAAAAACTGATATAGAGTTCTTTGGTTTCACCTAGAAAAGCTACTTTAAAATCATCCAGGAAGAAAGACATTATGGGCATTAAATGACAAAATCCAGACCCAGATAAGAATCTTCTTTTTGAACTGTCCTTGCACAATGTAGCTAATAAGGCAGGGCTTCCTCGGTGCCTGTCCACATGCCCTCACAGCCCCCGTCACAGCTCTACCACCCCTGGTTAAGCACCTCCAATGCCTTCGCTCTCCCCGGCCAGGAGACGCGGCTGCCCTCCGCATCCCGGCCCCCAGACCCGTGCCCTCCACACAGCGGCACAGCACGCAGCTGCGGAAGTGAGTTTAAAATGGAATGATCACGATCATACTACCCTGCTCAAAATGTGCCATTTTCAGTCAATAATATCTTTTAGTTAATAAAAGCAATGGCTTCATTTGTACCATTTTACAGTTTTGTGTTTTCTTCCTAGTTGTTAGCTCCCGTGGAAAATCATTAACCAAGCAGATATTTAAACACTGAAATAAGTCCATATACTTTTACCTTCTGGTTTGTAATGGGAAATAGCATAATTAACCGAACATAATTAACTAAACTAATCTGTACCTATAAACATTTGTCTTCGTAGAATTCAAAAATTGTAGGACTATTGAGAGAGGGAACATATTTTCATTGCTGCTGGAATCCCTTCACCAAGGGCACCCGGCAAGACGCTGAGGGTTCACAATAAACACGTGATGTCTGTGACACCAAGGAATGAACGTCACTAAGATCCCGCACTGGATTTATCATTTTTAAAATCACATGATCAGCATGTAAACATTTCTGCTTCCCATAACAGTTCTATTTCTATGCCAATGATCACTTTTGGGTTCTCTTTGTATATAAAGGATTCTAAAAACAAAAACCACTTAGCTTTTAAAGCAAAGGAATAAATCTAAGAACCACTGGCTAGTGTCACAGAGTGGATATATGTTAACAGACCCCACAGCTGGCATGAACAGATAAACAGGTTCACTGGAGCAGAGAATTCACTGTCGCTCCATAAATTAATATAACTATTGGAGACAGAAACATCTCAAAAGTTTTACAGAGCTTTGTCCTGAAGAAATATGTAAACTAAATAGTTACATTAATTTATGGAGCAACAATTCACCAGTCTTGATGTAAGTAAGGGAGGTGCCAGAATTGAGCCACGACCTTCACTCATTCTACAGTTAAGGCTCACTGTTAAAATCCTATGTTCCCCTGATTTAGAGGGAATGTAAATTCAGATACAAAATTATTATAGAAAATGTGCTACATAAATATCATTTCTACTATAGGAAATTTGCCCTAAATATTAAAAATGTATAGTAATTTATTCTTTACAAAGAAGTTCAAGTGTTGTAAAACTGCTTAGGAAAAAAAATATCAGATGAACTCAATTTTCCAACCACAAACCTCCCACGCAGGTCAAAATTTCCCAGCTTTGTCAAAGGGTTATATAGGAAGATTCTCTCTTCTCCCAGAGAACACAGAGATAGGTCTACATCTACCCCACAAAATATAAAAAGAAAAATCAAACTGTGTTTAAGTTAAGTATAGTTCCAACCACATTTCCATGTGAGTCAACTCTTCTAAACTGTCAAAGGAAAATTAGTCGAGTTTTGGAAGCAGGAACGTAACACTTTTTGGCTCCCAGCCAATCCTGTCACGGCGTGAGGCTTCAGCCTTGGGCTCTGCTCTGCCAGAAGTTTAAACCGACCGAGGGCCAGGACAGAGGCACTGCAGCAGCCACATAGGAGGCTAATCCTAACCCAAGCAGAAGCAGTTTCACCTCATGTTGCAAAAGCTTGGGAGAGAGGTCACCTTTTTCAGCTGCTATTTAGAAAACTTTTGGGCAGCATCACAACCGATGATGAAATCCAGCTCTATACCAGGGAAAGCGCACTTGCTGTTAGTGCCAAAAGAATTAACTTTCTCTTAACCAAATTTGAGCTTCCCCTTCTTGAGCAAGTCACACAGACAGAAAGAGCTCACGAATATCATCATCACTTATAATCTTGCATTAGTTTGAGATGCCTCTTAGATATCCAGCTGGGATTGTAAAATATGACACGAGTTCAGGGTGCTGTCAGGGCTAGAGGTGTAAATAGTATCCCATCTATGCGTATTGTTATTAATCCATTTGATTTTTGTGTCGACACGAAGTTATCACAGTATTTAAATCCCCTTGAGCTCTAACAAGAGCATCTCAAACTGACACAGGTAAACTGAACTCGAGTCATCCACCCAGATCCCCCTTCAGCAAAGAGTACCCCTTCTTCCAGCTGCTCGGCCACAAGCCCTAGACTCAACTCTGATTTCTCCCTCTCTCCCACCGTATCCAATCTGGCAGCAAGTCCTGTTGGCTTCCACTTGAAAGTAGGTCCCTTTTTCATCCCCCTCACTGTCACCCCTAGTCCAAGCCTCCAGCACTTCCTGCCTGGACTATTGCATAGTTTCTTAACAAGGTCTCCCTGGTCCCACCCTTGCTCACCAGTCTGTTTTCAACACAGCAGCAAGAGCAATTCCAGCAAGACCACCAGGTCCCAACTCCCCACAGCACTCAGAGTAAAAGCCCAAGTCCTGCAGTGGCCACTCTCCCCCTCGCTCACAACCCCCGCCACGCCGGCACCCTGGCTGCAGATCCCCCAACACCGCGCACTGTTTCCACCTCAAGGCCTTTGCGGTAAAGGGACTTTCTCTGTTTTGTCTGGTACTTTTAACTGCTGTATCTCCAGCCAAGAAGAAGCAAGCTTGGCACACTAAGTGCTCAACAGCTGTGAACAAATGAACTGCATGTATATGCCCTGTGAGCTACTTTCATTATCTCTCTTTCAGAAATGGGGAAACGGAGTTACAGAAGGGTTAAGGAACTTAACCTGCTCAAAGAGTGACAGAGTCGGGATTCAAGCCCAGGCGGGACAGGTGCAGAGCACTGACTCTTAGCCACATGGCTAATCCCACCCACCTTCCAAGCTAAGAAAAGTTTTCAATCAATCATGTTTTGGGGGTTTGGAAGCCTTTCACAGAGAGTTGGCCTCAGCAGCTAAGAGCTCACTTTCATAAGCAAAAACCTCAATGTTTACAAGGTGAAGCTGGCAAAGATCACAAATGTCTTCGAGTTTTTTCCAAAATCCCTTCCTGCAGACTGTGTGTGTCACTCAGGCTTCAAGTGATCTAGATCACATATAAAACCCTGGGAACCTGGATGTCAGTTCAGCAAACTTTTCTTGGGCAAACCTGAGGTGTGGGGCAGGCCACCAAATATCATCTCACATGGAGAAGGCACAGAGGCTATCTGGGAAGGACTGTTTTCCCAGAAGTACAGTCCTAGCAAGAGTCTTTCCCCCTGAAGCTGCAGAAAGGGGCCAGTGGCCAGGGAGAGGCGGGGCACTGTGTGGGGGCCACCCTCTACTGCATCCAACTCCTGCTCCTGCCTCCAGGTGGCAGGGGGCATTGAGCCACATGGAACACAGAAAGAAATATTAATACATGAAAGAGAACTCCCAAACTCTTCTGACAACAGCCAGCTGGAAGGGTCTGAAAGCATTTTAGGATTTTAAGTTAACAGGGTACCTCTGTGCTAGCCCTTAGGTAGGGCAATTATTATTCTATGAATGCAAAAAGAATACTGGTTAAAGGTTTCCTTGATGGAACAGACAGAAGAGAGGAAATGTAGCCCAGGGGTTAGTTGCTCAGACACTGGAGCCTGAGTTGAACCCTGGCTTAGCTACTTACTAACCAGGTGACCTATGTGCCTCAGTTTTATCATCTGTAAAATGGGGCTAATATTAGTACCCACTGAGGACTGAGAATCAATGCTTGTGAAGGGCTTGGTATCTGCAGAACCTGGCACACAAGAAGCATGTGCTGAAGACTAACTCTTAATACTGTAACATTTCTTATATTATATAATGTATTTGTTAAACCAGATTTTAGGATTTTTCAGTCTCCCCAGCGTCAGCTTCTATAGAACTTGAAAAAATTACGAGCTTGGGGTTAAATCATCAATAATTACTCTTTAATATAATTTCTAGCATTTTTTTTTACTGGTGTTGAATCTTTTGGAATGCAATTTGAAATACTGTTGCTTTAAGATAACTGGGGAAAGATTGAGGATATCGACAAGGTAGTAACTGGTAACGTTCAGTACAATGAAACCTCCACAAAATGGAACTGAAAAAAATCCAGGTCCTTATGGCATTTCTCTTGTTCTTTACTTTCAGGGGAAAGAAGTAAATTCCAACAAGAGAGAGGCATCACTGGACAGGAAACTGAGAGTGGGGTCGTAGTCCCTGGGCAGGTGTGACCTCAGGAAAGGCACCTCCCCAGGGGGGCCCCAGGGTCCCTGTGTCAAAGAAGGTCTGGACAGTGATTCTAACTGCACGCCCAAGTTCCCACCTCTCCTCCAGTCAGGGGAATCCTGCTTTCATCTGTCTCAGATTTGGGGTTCCACTGAAAATTTCATTTAGAGGGAAAGGGTTTTGCTGCTAAAAAAGAAGATGGAAACCAGAGTTTCAAGGTCCAAAATGAGCCAAGTGAGCTGTGACTAAACGAATGACAAGGATTTAGTCCGGAAAGTAGCACTTTCCAAACACGCATGCACAGCACAGGCCTCTGAGGTGGTTATGAAGGTTCCCTACAAAGGGGTTCCCTGGGCGGTAAGTTTGGTAGACATTTCTTTTTGGAGAGTCACAATACCCATTGGTTAAAAACTCTGTGAACACCTGCATGAAGACACTTTAACTTTCACCCAACAAGGCATATGGGGCCTGTGGAACTCAAACCCCTGGTCCCTGTCTTAGGGACACACGCACACTCAAGCCTGTGGACACAGGCACACAATGCACCAGTCCCTGTCCTTGCTTTACCTACCGCAAAGCCCCTGAGAGAATACTATCAAAAATTTCGAAGCAAACGAGAAACAAAACCCACAAAAGATTAAATTTCAAACAATTTAGTACCATATTGCTTTCTATGATTTCCCATCCAGCCTCTAGCTTTTGAATACTGAAACCCTAGTGCGGTGCTGGGGGCCCAGGGATAAATCAATAGATCTTTGCTGATCATTTGTGGACACTTGTCACATCACCCCTGTCCTTCCATACCATAACTCCACATTCCCTTCACTTCTAACTTTCAAAAAGCACAAAACCACTGTCAAATCTTTAACTCATAGCTGCAAACTGTTATTTCTGAAACTGTGCAGATATCATTTCCAACTGTCCTCCTGAGAACCACTGATAGCATGATTTAGGGATATTTCCAATTCTGGCTGAGGCTGGGCAGGGCAGAGGCCAAACGCTAGGAAAGGACAGGACTGTACTGGGTGTACCATAAATCAGCCACAGGTGTCACCCTGTTGGTGTCAGAGGGGTTGTTTCTCTGAAATAGCAACTGTTTCTATTACTCTGCACTTGTAATAACATCCTCCCACAGGGCCCTGCTTTCCCACAACTGTTACACTACCCAGAGATCCGACGTCAGCTCATGCTGTGCAAAATGTCCCTGATCAAGCCCTTTTCTGCATTATGGTGGCTGCCCCTCCCAAGAACAAACAAGGCAGCCGCCCAGGAAGCCACAACCAGCTGCTTCCAATCGCGAAATCATTCTGGCAAAATAAAAACTGTTTTGGAAACCAATCTGAGTTTTCCCCTGAGGAGCCCTATAGCCAACAGGGTTGCCATGAGCTGTCACTTGTGGAAATCAGAGAACTTTCTTGTTTGACTTTTAGATGTAGGTCTACTAAGTCTAAAAAGCACACGAAATTAAAAGAAAACCTAGAGCTAACAGGGTCGTTTGTCAGGATGCACCCAGTCAAGATCTAAAGAGGTTGACAACCTAACAATGTGACAAGACCGGGGGCTCTCCACTGGGACCTGCCACATGGCACTCGTCCGCTGAGTCCAGAGACCAGCGGACCGCACTGTTCTTCCAGAAGTGGAAACATGTCAGGACTCTGCGGCAGCCAGCGCAGAACAAGGTGGCTCTCAGAGCCGGGGTCCCCAGGCCATTCAGGCACCCTCTGGGCGAGCCCTGGCCGTCCACGCCCCGGGTGAACCGGCTGCAGGTCCCGGGATCTCAGCGGCTGCCCCACCCCACCATGAGCAGGGTGCCCGGGCGAGGGTGGGAGAGTTGTGGGGGGAGGGCGCCGTCCCCGCGCACGGACCTGCCGCTCCTCCGCCTGCAGCCCGTACTCCTCGCGCATCCGCAGCAGCTCGTCCTCCAGCCGCGCGCGCAGCTGCTCCAGCTCGAGCGCCTGGCGCCGCAGCGCCTCCGCCTCCTGCGCGCACAGCCGCGTCTCCTCCTCGACCTGGAGCCGGCTCTCCTGGCCGCGCCGTAGTGCCTCCTCCAGCTCGCGCACCTCGTCCTCGTACAGCTGCACGGTCTCCCGCCACGACTCGGCCACCAGCAGCGCGTAGCTGTCTTGCACCTCCCGCAGGCGCGGCGGGGGCGCGGCGGGGCCGGCGGCGCGGGCGCGGTAGTGCATGGTCAGGCCGGCGGCGCGCGCGCGCAGCTCCCGCACTTCGCGCTCGTGGGCCGCATCGAGGCCGTGGCGTTCGGCCTGCAGCCGGCCCAGCAGCGCCTCGAGGGCGGCGCGCGCGCTCAGCTCCTCCTGCAGCTCGCGCCGCTGCGCGCCCAGCTCGGCGTCCAGGCGGCCGCGGGCGGCGCGGGCCTCCGCGTCCAGGCGCTGCAGCTCCCGCAGCTCGCGCCGAAACGCGTCGCGCTCGCTCTCCGCCTGCGCCGTGGCCCAGCTCAGCTCGTCCAGCTGCTCCCGCAAGCCGCGCGCCTCGTCGGCGAAGCGCGCCTGCCACTCGGCCCACAGGCCCTCCTGCCCGCGCCGGCCGCGCAACTCCTCCTCCAGGAGAAGGTTCTCGCGCTCCAGCTCCCGCACCCGGCACACGTAGTCATAGAGGCGCGCGTTGAGCTCCTGCAGCTCGGCCTTCTCCGGGCCCGTCTGCAGCCGCCAGGACAGCATCTTGCTGTGCGTGTGGGGCGCTCCCGGCCGGCCGCTTCCCTCCCGCCTTGGTCTTGTCCCCTCCGCCGCGCCTCTCCGGCCCCGCCGCCGCCCGGGAGGCCCGCAGACTGGGGCGGGAGCCGGGGAGCCGCGTCACTTAGCGGACGGGGCGGGCGGAGTGGGCGCGGACCACGGTCTCCAGCCAATCAGAGCGCGGCCCGACGCGGCCACTGCGGCCGGACAGCGCCCCCTGCCGGACTTACCGCGGCGCCGCGAGGCTGCCGAGCCCAGAGCTCGGGCTGCCGCGGTGATCGTCGCGGGCTGTCAGATGGCAGCGAGGATGGCTGCTCTGAGGGTGGGGCTCAGAGAAGGGATGTCCGAGAGGGCTTCCTGTTGCTAGGCTATTGCGCGTACCCACGGCACCCAAGTGACCTAACGTTCATGGATGGAGATAGCAGCTGCCACTGAGACATGCCAAGTTGCTGTGATGCTGGTCATTTACCGGGGACTTGTCACCTGAGGCCCTGGAGATTGGGGGGTTTTCTATTTTGGACAAATGTATATATATACGTTTATAATATATAATATACACATATGCATATATAGACATATTACATATATGTGCATTAATCTCTTTTAACTTAAAAGATAAGTACATATCCATTCGCCAGTATTTTTATGTACAGGCAAGACTTCTCTTGACGTAGGTTGACTGGAATTCCAGTTATCCTTCTTATACAAACTATCCTCAGGGGACATACACTTTCCAATACGAGTTTCTTTCATTTGAAGTGAGAACTTAGACCATAAAGTGCTCTGAGAGCAGAACTTTCTAGACATCTAACATCTCCCCAAATTTTTTAGTTGTCCCACACACACATATCTAGATGTGACAGCCATCTTTCCCCAACAACGTGCCCTTAAGAAAGCACTCAATTTAATTGCCATAGAAACCACAGCTGTTTTGCACACTTGCATTTCATTAGTTTTCATGACAGTATTTAAGTTATGAATGACTATAACCAGTATAACTAGCATTAAGAGGCACAGAAAAAAACCTGCTGGCCTTGGGTCGGGGTGACCCTGGTGGTGACAAAAGGCCTGGAGAGCCATCCACTGGCCAGAGAGGGCTCCTCATGGAAGGGCCACCGGTCAGGGTATTTTACAGATGGCATGGAAAGGTAGACGGGTCAGCAAGTTGGTCTCAGGAAGGGCCCATAAGAAAATTTCTAGTGCTCTCCTTGTGACACACATGAGTCTCCAACCACAAGCAGGGCAAAAAGTGGGCCTTTCTCTTTCTAGAGACTTCATATGAGAGATCCCATCTGCAGGTGGTGGAAATTAATATCTTTCAATTAAGAATCCCTTCTCTCTTTCTGCTAAGGCTAAGTGAGGGTGGAGGGTGGATTTATTCAGTGCCAGGCAACACAGCTGCTGCGGTGTCATCACTCAGACCTGTCTGGAAGCCCTACCAGTCCTAGTGTCTCTCCTGGGCCACTCTGGGACATTTGGGCACTGTGGGGCGACTCCCACAGTTGCCTAGACTCAGCTGCAGCTGTTCGTCCTCGGCTCTTTAACTGCTCACACTACCAGGGGTTCTGCTGCCCCCCACCTCCCCTGGCTGGGCAGGGGACAGCTCTGCAGGTTGGGAGAGCATTCTCAGGGACCACTGTGTCTCCCAGTAGGACACCTTGTTCCGACTTACTGGGTTTCCTTTACCCTGTGCGCTTCGGGGTTTTAGATGTTGGAAATCAAGACCTTTCCCCCACTTCTGTTCTAAATCCTGCTCCCGAGGAAATGACTGCTACAGGGTACAGCTGCCCAGTTCTGGAAAGCATTATAAGGCACCAGGAAATAGCAGGAGAAAAAAGTACCCTTGGTTAGTCTTTCAAAATAATATCCTGTTGCATCATACTTAATCTTCACAAAACTGTGGCGCCGAGGAGTTGAGTGACTTGCCTAAGGACACATGGTTCTTAAATTTGGGGATAGAAGTATTAGATGTTGGGACCACAGGAGCAGACTTGAGCAGGCAGGACCTGCCCAGGAAATAGAGGCACAAAGGGGAGGGAATGATGGATTGGATGGGGCGGATGGGATTAGGAGACACCAGGGACCAATGAGAGTGAGAAGCCAAGAAGCTGGTAGCACCCTAGGGTGTTGGTTGGTCCTGGAGGCCCCTGGAAGAGCAGGAGCTGCAGACTGCATCCCACAAGGGAGCTGGAGAAGGAAAAGCCAACCCTTCCCTCCTCCTGCCCTCCCTTCTCTTGCCGGTGCCTCCCACTGCGGAAGCCAGAAGTTACCGGAGGCTGGCAGTGGTGTGCTGGAGCTGGCTGTCGCTGGCTTGTGAGTGCCAACTGTTAAATTTTCAGGAATTTTGTGAACCACTTGTTAAACACAGCCATTATTAAAAATTAAATTATAGAAGCTTATAATGAGGAAATAAATATACTCGAAACTTATCACTTCCTAATTATTTCACAGTATTTTCCTATTATCTGTCCTAGAAGTTCCGAATGACTGGCATGCCTGCACGGTGGACATGCCATTGAATGTGTGCTGCCCAGCTCTGCATTCACTGATGTGTTGGGAGCTTGAATAGTTACACGGTAGAAATCAGTAAGTGATTTATTCTTGTGATTTATTGTTTTGCTGATTGTCTAGTCTTAAGAAAGTGATGGAGAACATGTTGATAATGGAGATGAAACTTAGTGGTGGTGTTGTGTCTGTAGCTATTGAACTGTAAATAACACAAAAACGTGAGGAAATATGTTTCTGGTGCTTCAAAACTATTATCCAGATCAGGAAAGAAGTTGCTTCATAATAAGGAATGAATAAAGTTTCTAAGTTATTTCACCCTTGTCTTTCTTATTAAGGTAAACAACAGTATCTACTAACATTCATGTCAGGCTATGCTCATTCGTCAGTTGCAACCACAAGTTAACTAGGAACACCGGAGTTCTGCAAAAATCAATGAAAACGTTCTGCCAGTATCAATTTGCTATACGGAATTTATGAAAAAGAGTATTGTATATTTCATTATTGTTTGTAATAAAAATTTGAAAGCTGCCTTGATGTTGCTACCATATTAAATAATACGCATTTTTATTAATAGATTAATGGCAAAAAAAAAGGTGCAGTCTTCATTTCTTATTGACATTCTTCTATTCAATAGAGCGGATAATCTAAGCTTAAGAAGACATACATATATATTAGGAAATATATATATTCCCCCATGGGAGTCAATAAAATAATTTTTACTTTGAATGAAAAAAAATGGCTCGTAAATTTCTTTTTCTAGAATTGGCCTAATACAAAAGGAATTGCTCACCGTAAGCAATGATTTAAAAGATTTTTTTTTAACCACAGCCCCCTTTGGCAGGCTACACACCTCGCGGACCATCTACTCTACCTATTACCATTTTCAGTGAAAGCCGAACTCAAGGATGCAGCGGAAGTGGAGAGAAAAGTTACGTTTGAGCCCCACTGACCGCTGCCAGCAGAGGAGCGGTAAGAAGCTTGAGTCAGGTGCGAAAACGATGGGCCCTGGGCGCAGCGCCCCCTGGAGGAGAGCAGGGGAACTCCTGACCTCCCGGCAGGGGGCGCTGCTCCAGGGCGGAGCGCCCAGAAGGGCCCCAGGGCGACTGCAGGACCCTGGACCTTTGCGTTAGAGGCGCGGTGGATGGGAAGGAAGCGGGGCGGACCTGCAGCTGGAATTTTACGGAAAGCCAGAGAAGCAGGAGGGCTGCGCGGGGCCGGTGAGGTGCAGCCTTTTCCATCAGTCCCTGCGCTGGGCTGGGGAGGTGGGAATTGCGGGTCTTTTTCCTATTCATAGGACCTGGCGCAGTGTGGCCAGCGCTGCGCTGGGCTCCCAGGCAGTGGAGTAATTAGGGGTGGGGGGAGATCCCTTATCCCCCTTATCCCTTATCCCCTACTCATTCCTTCTGCTCTCTGCCTGAGGGGAGGGCTACGCCCCAGGCAAGAAGCCAAAAAGAAAATCTTGGTCTCCAAACTCCAAGATTTTAGGAACTTGAGGTTTTTTTTTTTTAGGACTTCGAGCTAGGCAAAAGTTGGAGAGAAAATCCTGAGAGAGGGCAGAGCAGGAGGCTGAGGAGAATTGGGTTTCCCAGGAGGCAAGAAAACATTGGGAGAGGGGCGAGGGAGAGGAAAGAAAGCACAGGCGTTGAGCCCTTGCACCCCTTCCTGGGCAGAGCCCTGAGGAGACAGCAAACCCCCGTTATATTTTGGGCTCCAAGTGCAGGGGCCTTGTGCCCTCCTTCCCAGAGGCGCCCTTGGGAGCCAGCAGGACTGAGAGGAAGGGCACAAGGAGAGCCTTTCCGAGGTGTCCCCATTCCCCCCTCAAGCACGAGCACCACCCACAAGTGGTGGACCGCAGACCTGAGGGGCCATTCCAACCAACGAGGGATGGGGTGAGATCGGAGCACCCCAGCAGGGCACAGCCAGCTCTAAGTGCCTTTGTGCAAATTAGAAAAAGGCAGCCTTCTGGGCAGACAAATGAGCCCACACATGCATGACCTGGTCAGTGGATAGTTCCTTGGTGCTAAGGAAGAAATGTCCCTTCCTTGGGGTAGGAGCTGCCCTGCACCCACATCCATGGCTCAGCAAGTACAGCACAGGCTAGATTTCGGTCCCACTCATTGCCTGATCCCGGCACGTTTGTGCAGTGGACAAGCTACGCTTGACTGTCTGTGGTGACCCACTGTTCCAACCTCTGGCTGTAGGAATGAAGACCAAGAGCTCTATCGGAAGGCTAGTGGATGCCAACACAGACAGGTGACATGAGGACCAGGTAAGCTCCCAACCCTGATGCCTTTGCACTGTGTAAGTCCTTAAAAATTCTGGTGCAACCCAGGGAAAGGGGTCAGAACCTTAACCGATGGAGATTGAGTTTTCATCACCCTGTTGTTATTTCATGATGACCTACGTTTGTGAACTGAGAGGCACACCTGCCCCCGACAGGTTTGGTCAGGTAAGAAATGAAGCAAGTGGGGAAGGGAAATGCAGTGGGCTGGCGGGAAGAGCTGAGCTGGGCCCAGTGGCATAGAGTGGACTGATCCACTTTGTG